CAATTTCAGTATTGCCTTGTGGTCTGCCCGGGCAGTGCCGGACACCTTTGAAGGACGCTCAAGTACGTTCGAGGGCCACTTGAAACATTCCAATTCCAATTGTCCAGCCAGCTACATTCCAAGTGCAAAGTCTCACAAAGATAACCCAACACCAAATGATTATTGAAGCGGCAATTACAAATGAGCGAAGTTGATTAGAAATAACTCTAAGCCACAAATATTTCATTGATTGCATATATATGCATTTGCAACGGACTCACAAAATGACGTTATAGCCAAATTAATGTATATATATATTGCTATATTCATATCATAAGTATACTTGGCTTAATTTTTTTTAAACTCCACTCTTGAATTGGTAATCTAATCTAGAATCGATTTATGTAATAGATTTTTTCATCATCATAGCTCAGCTGGCTTTCAAAATATGATAGAAGATATATGTACTAGAAATCCATTATTGTATGTTTCTTAAAGTGAATCGTGAATCTTGTTGACGAAATAAATAAATGTGCAAGTTCAAAATTGGGTAATTGATATGGAAGCGATGAGTCTATCGCATAATCAAGAAAACGATTGCAAAATGATTTTGATTTATAAGGTTGCCGTCTAATTACTTCACTGGGCGACACTTTATCAAAGTGGTTTTCAAGCAAATAATCGAGTGAGTAACCACAAGTCTCAGCAATTAAAGCTGCCACGGTTTTATTCAAAACAAAAAGTTCGCTTTCTGTAGTGGTAATTATCAGAATTGAATATGATTTATGGAGGAAATATAAAAGTGTTCATTAAATAAATCAATTTAATCTGTTGAGCAACAGACATTGTAACAGCTGTACAATATGGAGAGTAAAGGGATACATGGAGTGCTTGAAGTAGTGTGAACTGCAGAGAGAGAGAGGGAGTGAGAGAGTTGGAGGGAGACAGAGTGATATGGAGATTGAATTAGAGATAGAAATTGAGAGAGATATTGAGAAAGTGTGGCAGTGCGACAGATGTGGGACAGATATGAGTCACGCATATGAAATTTTTGTTTTTCTGTTATTTTATTTTATTTATGCAAAATATTTCGAAAAGAACACAAAAATTTTAAATTAAATTATATGATTATACAATGAAAATTGTTTTGTTTGCCATTTAGTTTTTTTTTTTTTATTTGGTTTTGTTCGCTTACGTTTTATGTTTGGTTTTTGCATTTTGGTTTTTTGTTGTTTTTTTTTTTTGTGAAACATTTTACATTTGTTATGCATAATTTGTCATGGCTTTTGTGTTTTCTTTCCCATTTTGCAATTTTGCAATTTTGCAATTTTTCATTCGCTTTCAGCACTTCAAAATGTTTGCATCCATTAATTTCGCGTCGTGTTTTGAAAAGTGCATTCTTTGAAATTCCAAATTCAAAATCGCAATTACATTTCTCAGCTGCATGGCTCAATGTTTACATTTTCCACTTTAATAATAATATATATAGCGTACAATTATTGTTGCAATTACAATTGTCTTGAGTACATTTAATATTTAAATTGTTTACGTTTTCATTTCGAACCTATGCAAAAATCATAGTTGACAAAAAGAATTAAACGTTTGTTTCTTGTTTTACTTTATGATGAGACTACGACAAAAACACATGCGACTTATTACACGTTTTCTTATATTTGTGTGTTGTTCATTTTTTTTCCATTTTTTTTTTTGATTTTATTTTTTTGCAATTTGTTAAAGTTTGCATTTAAATTTTGTGTAAATTTTTCTTTTATGATATTTATGTTTAATTTTATTTACGCAGGACGGGGTTTATTTCTTACACATTTGCATTTTTTGCTTTCATTTTTCTCTTCTCTTAATCATTTTGCTTCACTAAGTGTAAATATCAATTTTTTTTTCATTTTTTTTTTTAATTTATATATATATATATATATGTATATATTTTGTCATTTTTATATAATAATGAATAAATTAAAAAATATTCAAGCTTTGACTAGATAGATTTTTTATTTACTTTTGTGTGGTGTGTTTTGAAATATATATTTGTTGTTGTTTTAATACTCTAATGCCATGTGTATATGTGTATGTGCGCGTATGTGTGTGAATATGTGTGTGTGTGTGTGTATTAGTGTGAGTTTGAGTGAGTGTACCAGTGCAGCATCCATATTTTTCGACTTCGTGTGACATTTACTGTCAGTTCGATGCCTTCGCTTTTGGGGGGATTGAATATGATATATCGTATATGTTTACGTATAGCGAAAAAAAAAAACAAAAAACAAAAAAAAAACAATAAATAATAAAAAAAATTCTTGTTTAGTGATTATTTTGGTTTGCTTGGAGCCTAGGAAAGCTTTACTATATGCCTTAAAGCATTTGTTAAAGTTTGCGCAGTTAGTTTGAGAGGTTATGAAATACATATGTGTGTCACAGCAATATCTTTGGGGTGGTAGAGGCCTGAGAATGCAACTAAAACACGACAGGAGCGAAGACAAATCCAATATACGAAAATAGAATTGAATCTATTGAATCAACTTGAATATCAACATCAAGTGCTAGTTTATATGTTATGTATGCCCATTTAAATCTGTTGCCTTTCATCTGCTTTTCCCATTTTTTTCGCTATATATATATATATATATATATTTCATATTCATTCACAAATATATATAAGTATATATATATATATATTTATTTATTCGTATAGGTATACAAATAAATTTACAAACTTTGGTTTCTAGCAAAAAAAATGTACTACAAATTACATTTATATAAATTGGATCGGGTTGTGTCTGTCTGTATGAGTATATGTAACTGTCCATATATTAGTGTATATGAGTGTGTTTGTGTGTGTGTGTGTCTATATGTGTGTCTTTCTATTAAATAACAGATCGCTTCGAATCAAGCATTTGGCATACACTTGTCCAATGTTTGCCAAGCAATTGAGCTGAAAAATTAAACTAGCCATTTCAATCGGTTTATCTGTATCTGTATCTGTCTGTCTGACTGTCTGTTCCACCGTCAATTGCTTTGATTCAGTCAATCTGTCCATCTGTCCGTCTGTCGTATGCAGCTTTTCTCCATATTTACTTAAATTGCCCGTAATTGTTTTGATGGCGTTGTGCAACCGACTTGAAGAACAAAGTGAAGAACAACTTGGGCGAACCCTGAATGTAGCGTGAGTGTACTCATACCAGTATTCACTCTTATATTATTGACTGAGTAGTTGTTCACTGTGCAAATACTTGGCTAAATAATTTCAGTTCAATGATTTGTCTAATTTGACAAAATCATTTGATATGAACAAATACAACACATGCTGCATACTCACAGGGCGTGTATGTGTGTGTGTGTGTGTGAATATGGTTGTATGAATGTGTATGTGTGTGTGTGTGTGTGTGTGTGTGTGTCAGCTGGCTTGTGACTGCGTTAAGTGTTGGATCGAACAGAAACCAGTTACAAAAATCTTGAGAAAATGTTCTAAAAGAGCTTTAGCAATTAGCATTGCATTGCATTTGTTTTGTTTTGTTTTTTGTTTTGCATTTGTTGCTTAGGTTGCTGTTTGCTAATTTTATTTAGTTGCCTTACTAGCCGAGTTTCATTATTTTTAATCATTTGCTTTTTTTTTTGTTTTGGGTGTTGTGTATAGATACATAAATACATTTATGGACATTTTTGCGTTTGCGTTTTTGCGTTATTCATTTTATATTTTGCTTATGCTTTTTCTTTAAATATATTGTATATATTGTATATATATATGTATATATATATATATATGTATACATAATTTGTTTGGTTTTGCGTTTCCTTGCCATATATAGCTGTATATATATGTATATATATATATATGTTTAAATGCATACATATATCTATATACATATATATATATGTATATATACATATATACGTATATTTATATATGCATATATAATCAATGTATACATATACATTTATATAAATATATATATATATATATATATATATATATATATATATATATATATACATATATATATATATACATTTATACATTTATGTTTATATAGAGATTAGTACGCGTAGGTAGCTCTTAGGTTCACATGTGTCTGTGTCGCTCTTTTCTGTTAGTGTGTGTTTGTGTGTCGTATGTGTATGTGTATGTGTGCTTAACTGTTTGCTTACGTATTTGCTTACGTTTTTTTGCTTAATGCATTTAAATTTTTAGCAACTACTGCGTGCAGAGCATTTTGTTTATATTATTTGCCTTGCTCAATAATTGGATAGTTTTCATCTGCGCTGCAAAGTATGCAACGCTTTTAATGCATTTGTGTTGGCTTGTGTATGTGTCCGTGTTGGCTTGTGTGTGTGCGTTGTGAGTGTGTGTTGACAATTTATTGACTAGGAATATATATATATATGCATATATATATATATATATATATATATGTATATATATGCATATATATATATATATATATTTGTTTATTTTATTTGCTGCTGCTCAAATGTTGCATAATATTTTGAATGCTGCATGTTGCGCTGTATGTGTGTGTTTTGGGTGTTTTGCATTTTGCATTTTGCATTAAATTGAATAGAATTGTTATTACATTTAAATTGTTTGCCTTTTAATGTTTAGCCGCTTTTTAGCTTCTTAATACTTTTCTAAACAAGAACAACGCAGTATGAAATCATATAATTCTGTATAATTCTGACTTTTAGTTTCTCTTAAATTTCATTTTTAGCAAAAATTTCTTTCTCACTTATTGTATGTGCATGTGTGTGTGTGTGTGTGTGTATATGTATGTATGAATGTATGTGTATGTGTGTGTGTGTGTGTGTTACAAATGAAGGGCATTCCCCATTTTTGCTTTGGTTTATATATGTTTTGCACGGTTTCTTGATACTTTTACATTTCATTGAAGCATTTTTCATTTTTCTTACGTTCAGAGTGTGAGAAAAAGAGAGAACTAGAGAGAGATGTTTGTTTTTGTTAATGTTTTATTGCATTTTGTTAAACATTTAAATACTTAAATTTAATTGCTTGCGGTATATTCTTGCCGTTTTTTGTTTTTTTTTCTTTGTTTAATTTAATATATAGATGCATTACATTTCACGTACGTTGCGGAACTGCGCTCCTTTTGACGAAAAAAAATCATTTTGTTTTTAGTTTTGTTTATATTAATTTCATTTACTTTTCTCATTATTATTTGTTTTATTGACGTGCCATGCTTTTTACTGATTGTTGTTGCCTTTGTTTAGGTGCATGCATTTGTTGTTCTTGTTTTCATGTTCTTATTATTCTCGTGTTGCTCTTAGTTATTTACTCTTTCACTTCGAAATATTTGTAGGTAGGATTCTCGTACCCATTTATTTGCATATTGGGAACAATTTTCTCCTCTTGTACGATGGGTTGATGTGTGGTCATATTCTGTTGGGTATAAAAGATACATTTCATTATTAAGTATGTAGCCCAATGAGAATGGTGAAACGACAGAAGAGAGATATAGAAATATATTTATTTGGACTGGACAGTCTGATTCCGATAGAAATATGAATTTATCCTATAAATGCCAGTCACAGCTGTGTTAAACTGGTGTTTCTTTTAAGTTGCTCTTTGACCAAGAATATATTTCTTATAAAACTTTACTCGTTGTGTGATGATTTAATGATTTGCCTAATTATAATGCTACACTGGCCATGTGATTAACTCATCCATCAAACTACTCGCTTCTAGCACATAATTTGTTATTTCAATCAATCGCGATCACATTAATTCTATATCCAACAATTAACCTCAAAAGAACGCAAACAAACAACGAATTTCTTTATAACTCCATAAGTTGTAACCTCAACAAAGAATACTTCTCACTTTACTATGATTCGTGTGTGACAATTTAAACATGGTCTTAAACATGCATCCTAAAATCTCTCTTTGTTTTGCTGTGTGCGATTTTGAGTTGTACCTGATCCACTTCAATGAAGCCCTGCGCGTGCGGCGAGCGCGATGTTCGCCACTTGGCAACGGCCACGCCCACAAAAACGGCTGCCATTAGGGCGATACCAGCGAACGAGAGAGTGAAGTAAACGTTGCGCCCCTCCTTGGCCGCGTGCGCATGCGCAAATTCGCGACGCAGCGAGAAGCTCTGCAATGAGAACGAGAGAGAGAGAGAGAGAGAATGGACTTTAGCCAGATGCGGCATGAGACGTGGACGACGCAGCTTAAATACCGATTCACGGTGGCCCAGATCATGGGTCATGAAGTGCTGCACCTGCGGCTCAGCCTCCTGATGGGCAACTGCGGCGGCCACATCCTCCACCGCACGCTGCACAGCATCATCATCTACCGTTGGCAGCACGGTCTGCACTTTGGTGCTGAGAACGCAGCGAGATAAATAAACAGGGAGAGAGAGAGAGAGAGAGGAAGAAAGAGAGAGCTGTTAGATCTGTAGCCAAGTTGAGGTTATCATGTGACTAACCTGACCGTGGCATCGGCATACTCGGCATCAACTAGCTCCTTCTCGCTCTTTGTTGTGTCGAGTCGGAGATTGGGCACAGTTACCAGTTCACCGTTGCCATTGCCATTGCCGTTGCCGTTGACGCCACTAGCACCCTTTAGGTCCTTGCTCTTGTCCAGCAACTGTTGCTGCTGCTGCTGTTGTTGCTGGGCCTGCTGCTGCTGGGATTGCTGCTGTTGCTGCTGCTGCTGCTGCTGTTGTTGCTCGGCCGCCTGCGACTTGAGCATGTCATCGACCTTCTTTGCCTCCATGCGCAGCTTCTCCTCGCGCAGTTTCTCGCGCTCAGCGGCGCGTTGTTCCTTGCGCTGCTTCTCGGCGAGACGGAGACGCTCCTTTTCGGCCACCTTGCGCTCAATCTCAATGCGATACTTGTCCAGGATGCCAGCCTCTGCTTCCTCGCTCATGCCCAGCGAGGAGCCGGGTATGTCATCCTTGCTGCGCAACGCCAAAATGTAATCGTTCATCAGCTGTGCAATCTTGGCAGACAATTCCGGGTAGCGCTTGAGCATGGTCATCGATTGGTTAACAGCACGATCGATATCAATTAGACGCTCCAGCGTGCGTGGTCGCTCTGATGCGGCCGCCTCGAGACCACCCGGTCCTCCCGAATTCAGCAGATGGCGATAGTGGGCCAGGGCATGTGCCCGATCCTTGTGCAGTGCACGCAGCAGCTTCTGCAGACACTTCTCCACATGATGTGCCTGCAATTGATCCCAATCAATATCAATATAACACTCAAGAATGGCAGTTGAACATGAAAAGCGAGACTTTCGAGGGAGACGCATACGTTTGTGTTGATTTGTGTTAGGGGCAGTCGCTGGAATCAGTGACCAGTTTGTATATAGCCAAGTCCTTTTTCAATCACAGCACAGTGTTGCTCTAGACGAAATGGCTTCTTCTTGATTTGCACAGTCCAGTACCAGTATATACCATATATAGTCGACTTTTTATTTGCTTTCAATTCATTATCTTTGTAACTTAACATTCACAATTCATCCATTCATAATCATAATCATGGAAACAGGAAATTAGGAAAAACGGAGAGCTGTTGCTATAAGCACTGGATCAGCGACAACAGTCAAGAACTTTGGGCTTGGACATGGCAAATGATTGGGTCAGTCAATTGGTTCATTGGTACTTGGTTGCTTGGTCTATTGGTCGCTTTGTCAATTGGTCACTTAGTCGGTTGGTTACTTAGTCGGTTGGTCACTTGGCCAATTGGCTGCTTAGTCGGATTTGGTTACTCACATTCGGTGGCTGCTCCGTTAGGGCCTGGGTGTAGCAGGTCATGGCCTCACGCTTGCGCTGGTTGATGTGGGCGAGGACGCGCTGCTGGTGCATGGCCGCCAGTTGGTGCTTCTCGGCGTTGCCTTCTTCCTCGAGTGCCTGAACAGAAGTCTAAAATTACATTCCCATTTAAAGACGTATTGCACACCAAGAGAGAAAGATTATCAGCATGAAGTTGGAATTTGATACTTTCGTTTGTTTGATCTATCGATAGTAAGATCGATTTCGAATTCGATTGCAATTGAGTTTTTTTTGTTGTTGTTTTTTTTTTTTTGATTATTAAGTACAGTTACGTTTGGCTAAATTGTGAAATTTCATGGCTATAACTTGCAGTTGTCGTTAGTTAAGTAAAGTGTCTGGTGTCTGGTGTATGTGAATGTGTATTTATATACGAGTAGTGTGTGTAATTGAACGAGAGCGTCATGTACAAGGGATCGGGGACAGTTCACAGTGCTGTGAGTAGTAGTAGCAGTAACATATGATCGATTTTGTGAATTTACAATGAATAGAATGATACGAAGATCATGTGGAGCGTTGCGAATGACAAATATCAGCTGTGTATCTATATCCATTCAAATCAGAGAGCTGGGACTGAGTTGGAGTTTAGGTCTTAAGATGAGGCATGAGTATATATATACATATATAAATATATAATAAAATTGTGTTTTTTATAGGCTATTCATTCATCGATATTAAAGCGGAGCACATAGAGTGTGTGTGTGTGTGTGTGTGTGTTGTGGGAGTTATTCATGTGTTGATTTTGAGTTTGTTGGTTTGTTAGTTTGGGTTTGGTTTGGTATTGGTTTGGTTAACGTTAGTTGATTGTTGGACAGAAATGAAGATACGTCGAAAACTAAAGGGATATACGAGTAGTATTATAAAGCCAATCAGTTGAACTACGAAAGCACTTTGAACTATAATAACTGAGTTTGTTTCTAATTTCTGCTTGTTTTTGCTGTACTTGGTTAATGAGTGTTGAGTTTTGCTTTCGTTATAGCGAGTACGATTCATAAATCAATATGCTTGTTATTGTTATTATTATTTAATAATATTATTATTATTATTATTATAATTATTATGATTACAATCTGATGCCTCTTTCGCTCCCATTTGCCATACATGGATACACAAAGAGAAAAAAATCACAACTACGTTTACACATACAGAGACAGACACAAATATATGTATATATATACATATACATATATATATATATATGTATATACATTCACTACAATCTTCAAGTAGAGAGCTACAGGTGCATTGATAATGTGCTTTGAACTTAGCCAAATGAAAAGACGACACTAATGATAATGATATTGATGGAAATAGAAAAACATAAATAGAAATAGAAATAATTATAATTTTCGCTAAGTATATAAGCTACTTAAGTGGGTGGGGGAGTGGGAGGGGGTCACAGTTGGGCTCGTTGCTCGTTGCTCAACTGCTTCCCCCCAACCCCACACCCCTTGCAAAATACTGAGACGCAGACAGACACACACGCACACACACACACCTAAGTAGGTACATATGTGTAAGTATTTCAATATATAAGTTGTGCATAAGAGGTTTATTATTAGTTTTTTTTTTTAGTTATAGTGATTTGGTGCGTGAGATAGTTAGACAGAGACAGAGACAGAGATAGATAGATAGAGAGATAGAGATAGCCAACAATAAGACAGATAATACAACTTTGATAGGGGCTGGTTGGGGTTGGATTGAGTTGGGCTTGGTTTTGGTTTTGGTTTTGGTTCGCTTTGGATAGGTGTGGATGGGTTGGGTGTGGGTGTGTGGGTATGTGGAGGACAAACCTGGAAACGTGCCGTCATGCGCTGCTTGAAACTCTGGGCTGCCTTTGGATCGGCGAGACGCATGTCCTGGTACTTCTCCTCCAGATCAGACCAGTCCTTCATCACACGTGTGACCTTCTCGCGATGCGATTCCTCAAGGCGCTGTTGGGCTTCCTTTGTTTAGAATACGTTTTGTTTTTTGTTTGATAAATAAACCTGCGCCCTCAACGTAAACACTTACTTTCTGACTTACTTTGTAGCTCTGGTGCTCGTAGTGCGGATCGAAATGCGTGAAGTACGGATCCGAGGTGGGTTGTGCCGTCGATGGTGGTGCGCCCACTGCTACGCCTGCATTTGCTGCAGCAGTTGCAGCAGCGGCGGCAGCAGCAGCAGCAGCAGCTGCCGATAGTTGTGGGGTGCCAGTGGAAACTTCGGGTTTGAATGCAATCGGTTTGCTGCCAACCTGCTCGGTTAGGCTTGCCGGGGATGAGAACATGGATATGACGGGCGATTTGATTGCGGTTGGGGGCTTGGCACCGCTGGAGCTGCCATTGGGATCCCAGGCATCGGCAATGCCGGCCACATCACTGTCCGAACCGGCGCCATCCTCCTCGTAGTTGTCGCTGTCCTCACCACTCTCGTACTCGGCATTGATGTCGTCCATGCCGCTACTGTTGGCATCGCTGGCCGCAGCACCAGTGGCACCCACAGCGGCTGCCTCATCGGCCACCATTTCGTCCTCCTCATCATCGGCCATCAGATCATCCTCATCGTCGAGCTCATCGTCATTGGCATCCTTTGAGTAGTTGGAATCATTGCTGTCATCATCATCATTCGAGCTCAGCTCCTCGTTGGCGCTGTTTAGCTGCGCTGGTGGCATCACCGGAATATCGGTCTTCTTTACACGTATCTCATCGGCTGCAAGTGGCAAGCAAGACCAATGTGACAATAAGTCAGTAATTTTGTCGACACAATGAAAATAGATTAGGTTCAATTTGGGATTGCGGTTAGGTGGCTGATGCTGATTGAATTGTGTTTTGCGAGAGATTGAATAGTAAGTTAAGTCTATATTTTGAGAAAGTGCACTTTAAAGTTTCGCGAGTACTTAATTAAAATAAAATAAATAAATATTAAATCAATAATATAAATGCCAATTTGAATGGTTTTTCTTTTATGCAAAATAAGCAAATACTAATCAAATTGTTTGTTTAATTTCAAAACCGATATACATTTAAATAAGTTTGTAGTTGTGGTAAATGTAAATAATATTGGGATTTAATTGATCTGAATTATGGGATTAGTATTGGATAAATACCACAACTGAATGCGATTGCATGCGAATACAAATTGTCACTTGGTAAATAGATAGAGAGAAAGAGAGAGAGAGAGAGAGGAGGGAGAGGGAAGCATATACTCACTCTTGAAGTGCTTGGGGCAGCATACGAATTCGACGCCAGAGAAGAGTGAGATGCCGCAGGGCAGCAGCATGGCAAAGCTGCGCATTTGCATGCCACGCTCCTGGCAAGCGGCGGCACCAGTCTGATTCCATCTGACGAACGGCCAGCAACGGGACGCATTGTGTATGTGGTCGAAGAGGCAGCCCTCGGGCACCAGCAGCGCGTCCGATTGGAATGGTCCTTCTGAAGCCAAACGAGTTGCCGATTGTCAGTCAGTTTGTGTGTGCAGCATTGGTAATAACAAGCAGATGGTTCACATTGGTCACAGCTCAAACAAGCAAATAAGCAAGCAAACAAACAAACAAACAAACAAACCAAAATATCGCCCAATTCAATTGTCACTTACCCAGGCAACGGAATGGCTTGATCCAGCGATGGGCTCCCTTGCACTTGGCCGCATTTAGAGCACCCTGACGACACCAACCGCCAATCTTCTGATAGTGCGATGATTCCACAATGTTCGTTATGTCTCGATTTGGGTAGGCCTGCAACAATAATAAGTGATAACATTCAGTTAGTATTTGTCGTATTGATAGCATATTTTAATAGCCCAACTTATTATTATACATTTTTGTGGCAACAAAAATCCCACAAATATCTTTTGTACTAAAAGCATTCCCAGAAGACAACCCAATCAGACTAAATAACTGATAGTTCGTAATGGGAATTGCTAAGAGAAAGTTGTCAAATCTATGTTTGAATTGGGGTTTGTACTATTTTCGGGGCATATCCAACAACAACAGTAACAGCAACAGTAACAGGAACAGCAACAGCAACAGCAACAGCAACAACAAAATAATCATCATCGACAACACTGAGTTGCTTCAAGTGGCAACTGCTTGTTGTGGGTGCGAGTGTGCGTGAAGGCATGCAAATTGAGTGCAAGCAAAAAGCCTTGGCTTCGATTTTGACACCTGACTGCTGCATACACCCCACAACCACACATACGCACACACACACACACACATAGTCAAACACACACTCAGAATTGGAGCAATCGTCAAACACACACACACACACACACACACACACAAGTGCCTGTGAGTGGGCGCATACAAGTTTTGAAATATGTTCGCTGCACTGCATTGTTGAAGCTGGCTGCCACAAAGCGCACCACTTGCCGTATACGTAATGTGCACATTTAGCACCCAAAGAACTAAAGAGAGCAGCTTGACATTTTACACTTGAATAAGCCGCAAATGTTCTGATTAGTATGCATCGTTCTGCGTGCCTATTTTTCCTTTTTATTTTTCTTCCTTTCCTGTAACCATATGCGGGTATCAGTTTCTTTATCTATATCCGCATCCGCATCCGCATCCGCATCGATATCCATATCCACATCCGTAATCGTTTAGTGGCAAGCTCATCTATAAATATTCATGGTGCGCGTGTGGGTCTGTGTGTGTCTATTAAATGGCATCTATTGGATTTGAAGAGGGTAAAGGGCTTAATCATTAGATATTTATAAGCTCCAGTTTCATTGTCTCAGCCATTGCTTAGCCAAGCATTTGATGCGTTTTTCTTTTGGCCAGCGAGCAGTAAAACTTTAATTGGCCGCTCGGTTTGATTGACTGGCTAAATGACTGACCAACTGAATGGCCTAATAAAATATCGCACACAGCCACGTGCCACACTCACACGCATAAGGATGAGTACTTAAGTGTGTGTGCACTACATTTGTTTCAAACAATTATGTGCCGAGTGCCACACACACACACACACACACATACATATATATACATATATATATATATATATAAACATATTTATATATATATACACCAACGACTCATGAAAATGAGGCCTTTTTAAATGTTGTTTGAGTGTTTCGTTGCAAATAGCACACAAGCACCAATGCATATATATATATATATATATACATGCACACACACACACACACACACACACACACACAGGCACACAATGAGTGCAAACGGCACGTAGGCTTAACCATACGGCCAGACAGTAAGTTCGCTGCCTTTCCCCCAACCAATCCTTGCCGCACGTCCAGTTGGGCTCGCAGTCCGTTTTTTGTATGTGTGAGTGTGTGTGTGAGATGTATTGCCGTATAGCTGTTGGCAACCGGGCTAAATAAAACATTAAAAGCACAAAATAATGATGCTGATGCATGTCAAGTCAAACTGAAAACCGAAACCCCAAAGGCACCCGCTGCTAAATAAAACCAGACTCGGCAAGGCCTCACGCATAGGCCATGATTCGACACACACACACACATATATATATATAGATATATGTATGTGTCAATGTAGAGCATAATCACTCACACAATGGCACAGTGGCAACCACTTGAATTAAATATTTATACACACTTTAAATGTGTTTAGCAAATCAGTTGATTTTATCGAAACAAATATCAATTTGAAATTTGCTAAAAATTATTTATTTATGTGTAATTTTTTTTTTTTATTAGCTTACTTTTTAATTTGATTTGTTATTTTGTATTCTATATATTTGCTGTTTATAAAAAAAAAAAAAAACTGTTTGAATAATGCTATTATTCCTAATACTTTCCGTTCCAAATTGGCCATTAAGATATTTTATTTAACAGCCTATTTAGAGTGTTATAAATATTAAATGAAAATCAATAGCAATATATTTGCTCAAATCCATGCACAATTACAGATAAAAGGTAAAGTTTTAAATAAGTTGTTGAAACAGCACCAGAATGCCATAAAAGCTGCGAAATTAAATAAAATAATTGCGCAATCAGGATAATCAAGTGTAGCAGCTCAACTGCTTAATTGCTGGCCCCACTGTGCGCTGCAAAGGCGTGCGTGCGTGCGTCTTGATATATGATAAAGATAGAGAGATAGCGAGACAGAGACAGAGAGAGAGAGAGAGTGAAAGTGTGTGAGAGAGAGAGATAGAGAGAGAGAGTACCCCTTTCCATTTTCTGGCCACTTAGTTGCCATTTCGAGGAAAATGTAAAAAACGCACATCATCAGCAGCAACAGCAACAGCAGCAGCAGCAGCAGCAGCAACAGCAGCAGTCGCAGCCGCAGCTGTGATGACGACGACGACGACGCCGACGTCAAACGCAGAGACAGACTCTGCCTGACCGGCAGTTGTTGTTGCTGTTGCTGTTGTTGTTGTTGTTGTTGTTGCCTGTGAGTGACTGTAAGTCCGCCATTTGTTTGGTCGCTGGAGTATATAAACGTGCCTGCCTCACACACACACACACATACACACACACACACATATAGCATAAGCACACTTACAAAACACATACAGAAACACTTTCACACACCAGCGTTCGAAAGAGAAAGAGAAATAAAAGAAGGAGAGAGTCACAGAGTGAGACAGAGCAAGAGAGGGAGAGAGAGAAGGAGTGCAAGTGAGATAGCAAGCTATGGGCACTGGCTGGGCTCTTGGGTGCCCTGAGTACAGCAAACCAACGGCGCCAAGCACGAAACCGACCCCAAACCCGACCCGATCCAGCCCGACCCAGTGGCAGCCCCATGCGGCTCATCTCGTCTCGGCCTATGCGGCTTGGCTCGGTGCGGCTTGGCCTGACTAAAATGTGTTCGTTCTACTTGGCTTAATCAAAACATATTCAACCGAGCGCGAGGCTGTTTAAAAGCTTCGCTCGAGAGAGCTTGCCACAAATACACACGCAGCGCAACTTATTGTAACAGAATTTGATTCTTTTGTTTAAACGCTGGCACACACACACACACACACACGTAAGCACACACACGTAAGCACACATGCATGTGTGGCTAAAATGAAAAGCAAATTTAATTGTATAAAATTAGCAACAAAAAAAAAGAAAACAAATAACACAAGCGCGGCTCCCATGAGTGTGTGGCTGTGTGTGTGTGTGTGCGCGCTAATGACAGACAAACAATTAAACTTGACATTTTTGCTATTGTAACACAGAAACACACACACACACACACACACATATATATATAAATGCGAACAGGACGCGAGTGTTTTTCTATTGTTAGCTGTACATGCGCTTATCCTTGAGGAATGCAATTAGACAAGCTTCAATACAAGAATAACAATAAACAAAACATTAACAACAAGATGCCATCTTACATATTGAACACAAAACGGTTGCCTTTGTTGTCAGCCTTATCAGCAACAACAGCAACATTAACAACAACAACTGCGCTGAAGGCCACGTTTTGTTGATTGTATTATTTGATGGGTGGCATCGTTAAAAGTGTGGCAAGTTAAGCTCATACCGATGCGAGTGTGTGGGGCACATGCGGATGTGTATTCGACGCATTTTAAACATTTGAAATGCACTTTTCATAATATAGTATTTGCCAAGTCAAATACAACCAAATTTAAAGTAAGTCTGTTTCACAATAATCATCCGATCTATTCTCACAATCTGTTAATGTACTTTTGTACATCAATCAATAGTTTTTGGCAAATTGCATAATAGTAATATATAATTTCAGTACACAAAATCGGATTGTAAAAGCAAATTTTGTAGTTTCACAAAATCAATGTAAAGCTGAACTCTTCAATAAAACTGTTTTCAATTTGGCTCGTTGCTGCTTGTTATTAGTTTTCTTGCGCTTCGTGATGGCATTTTGCTGGACTGGCGTTTGGCTTTTAGCAACTTCGACACACATTCAATTTGTTGTCAAAAATGATTGCATCGAGTATGGCGCAAATTGGCCACGCCTTCATTTCAACAATTTCAGAGCCAGCAGCTGACAGCTGCAGCTTGTGCTCTGCTGGGTAGTGATTCCGAATGCAATCGGGGCACGCCCCAAGTGCTTGGAAATGCCACCTAAATGCAACCAATCGACTTCTGTTTGCGTTCGTTCACTGCGTTTCTGTGTGTGTGTGCGAGTGTGTGTGGGTGTGTGTGGTGTGTGAACTGCTGCAGCCGTGCACGTTATTGAAAATGATTTTTTAATGTGGCATTGACGCGAGGCCACATCGCACCGATCCTCCCATGCCTCATCGGCTCCTGCTACTTTCTTAGCTGCTTGCTGGGCGCACATACATTGTGCGTGCTCTGCCAAATAACTTTGTGCCAACTTTCTATTAGCATTTTCCTTTTTCATTTTCATTTCCATTTTTATTTATTATTATTTTTTTTGTGTTTTTTTTTTTAGAGCTCGCGAACTTGGCTTAAAGTCCGCTGGGGGTGTGTGTGTGTGTGGCCCGACCCCAACGGCATTTGTTTGCACACTCCGCTGAGCTTGTTGTAATTTAAGTTTTACCGCTAAAGCCACTCCCAATCCCATGCCTCGTGCCTCATGCCTCATACAGCTCGGATTGGCGCAAGTTGAACAGGCGTAGCATAAATATTTTTAGTTAAGTCAACGCTGACGTTGGTTAGTTCCAGTTACAGTTGTGGTTACGGCAACGGCAACGGCTACAGCTACAGCTACGGCTATGGCTACTCATGCCAACAGTAAGTCCACCCACAAAAGCCCTGTGGCCACCTAGTGACCGCTGCACGCCCATCCATCCACCCACTGTTCTCTAACTG